TATTAGTTGATATTTTTAACTTTGTTAAATATTACTTAACATTTAACACATTACTTAACATAATTATATTATTCACTCTTTATTTAAATGATTTAAATATCTAATTTAGCTAAAAAATAATGAAATTCACTTTCAGCAACAAGAACCATATTGCTGAAAGTGAAAAATACTTTTTGGGGAGAAAGTGTACTATTTAAGCGAAATCTGATCATGATTAGTAACCAAAAATTTTCAGTAACATGGTTCTTGTTGCTGAAATTCATTTTCAGCAACAAGAACCATGTTGTTAAAAGTAAATATCACTTTTTGCTAATTAATTTATGAAATTGGTGCAAAATCTGGTTATGAACAGTAACCAAAAACTTTCAACAACAAGAATCATGTTACTAAAAGTAAATACCACTTTTTGCTAATTAATTTATGAAATTGGTGCAAAATCCGATCATGAACAGTAACCAAAAAATTTCAGCAACATGATTCTTGTTGCTGAACCATTTCTTGTTGCTGAAAATGGTTCTTGTTGCTGAAAATAGTTTTCAGCAACAAGAACCATGTTGCTAAAAGTAAAGAACACTTTTTGCCGATCAATTAATGAAATTGGTGCAAAATCCGGTCATGAATAGTAACATAAAATTTTCAGCAACATGGTCATTGTTGCTGAAATTCATTTTTAACAACAAGAACCATGCTGCTAAAAGTAAAGAACACTTTTTGTTAAAATGTGTACTATTTAAGTATCAGCAACATGGGTTTTGTCGGTGAAAATTCATATCACTGACAAGCAATTTCATGTTGCTAATACTTAGTTGCTGAAAACAAAAATTTTAGTAGTGCGGTCATCAAGGAGATCAAGGCCGTTGTCGACGACGAGCGCATTCGGAAATGAGAATTCATTGGGGTCGGAGGAGAAGAAATGGAATTCATGGGACCAGTAGGGAATGGGATCCAGGGTGAGGGTTTGATCAGGGCGAGAGTGGTGGTGGGCGACGACGTCGTTGTCGAGGTTGTGGAAGTGGAGATATAGGCAGAGACGGATCGTGGTGATGGTTATGATGGTGAAGATGATGATGGGCCCACAAGACAAGGTGGCAAAAATCAAAAATAAAAAAAGGTCTAACCGAGTGTGACCGTTTACACTTAACGGTCAATAAACAAAACCGTTAGTTTAATTGGACGGAAGGACGACAAGTGCATGCTTTTGCATTGTAGAGGGATGACAGGTAGAGTTAATTAATAGTAGAGGAACGACATGAAGCCAATCCATAGTAGAAGGTTTAGAATGCACTATTTTGGATAGTAGAGGGACGATAGATGGCCTTAACCCTTCTTTCTCTCTTTCTCTCTTTGACATAGTGAGGTAGGATTTTTTTTTAAAGTTAAATGCTAAATTTAGTCCTTCAACTTTATGAAATGCATATTTTGATCCCTCAACAAATTTTTGCACTTTTTTGATCCCTCAACTATACGAAATGCACTCCGTTAGTCCTTTTGTTAATTTGGGCCGTTAACTTTGCTTATATGGCATTTTTTATATATTTTTTTGATGATGTGGAAAGAAAAATTTAAAAAAGTGATGATATACACAAAACTTTTGCCATGTCATGCTACCGTGGCCAAAATGCGTTAAATCCGTCTAAATGGGTCCCACATCACCACTAAGAATTGCTTCTTTGTCCATCAGCTACTGCTTCTGTTCTTTCCATCGACGATGTTCTTTCCATTTTCAAGATTGAAATCATTTAGACAATACTTAAAAAATATGAAGAAAAAAATCTCAAAAATCACTCACAACAACCTGCAATTTGGATAATCTTTTGGCAAACAAACCTATAATAAAAAAAAAAAAAAGTAGAGCTGGGTTCGATGGAACCCAGCAGATCTGGGTTTGATGTAACCCAGCAGGTCTGGGTTTGATGTAACCCAGCAAATAGGTTCCATCGAACCCAGCTCGGTTCACTGGAACCTAGTTGCCCAAAAATCCCTCACAACAACCTGCAAT